ATGTCTTCAAAATCTTGGAAATCCATGTCGTCCCAGAATGAACGAGCCTTATCCAATAGAAACTTGGCTAGGAAACCTTTGACCCCACTTCTTGTCTCCTAATTGGCTATGATGTCGGATCTCTTCAGATGCAAAGCTGCGGCGGTGATTCCAGGTTCTGGAATCTCTTGTAGACCGGTGAACGGTATCTGATCAAGAACAGGCACCCCTAAGAGTAGAGAGAACTCTTCCAGTGTACGTACCAACTGATAGTCCGGGAAAGTGAAACAATGATGTACGAGATCAAAGAATTGGAATAGTACACACATCATCTCTTCTTGGAAACTGGATGTAGCCAAATTGAGGAGTCAACCGTATTTATTGGTGAAAGGAGAATCCCCGGGAACTCTTGAGGCTAACTCTTGAAGTTGAGGGTGTGCTTTTACGAAGCTGATTCAGATGGTGTTTCTTCGGACAGAATTCATGACCTACAAAACAAAAACAAAGATAAACTTCTAAATCCTTGAAATGGTTAGTGAGCATGTTCATGATGCTTATGATGTTTATGATGTTATGTACAAGTATATACACATAAACAAACAAATCCCTATGTTTTAGGCTTGCATGAGGTTTTATATGTAAGTATCCTCTTGAAGTTTAGTTGGCTCAAACCTGTCCTAGTAATAGTGATCAGGTTCTAAAGAATCTCAATATCACCGACCTTTCTCTCGGGCGTTGTCTCAGCACAATCAATCTTTTCTTGCGGCCGAGATATCCCAAAAGTCTAGCCTCAATGAGTGTAGTATCGAGTATCAACCAATTTTCAGCTCTACACCGAAACCGACTATCTCACTACATCCTAATGGCCAAGTTTGTTCAATTAGGGTTCTAAAGTCCGTTAGTGCTTCATGACGCCACTCAGCGTCCCCGTATTCTCCTTGATTCACCACAAGGGATACCGGTACCCACAAATGCGTCACACTAACATATCCATTGTTTCAACCATATCGGTCTACGCCGTACAGTTTCCACAATCTATTGCTATTTACCTAAAAAGGTGTCCCAGATCTGGGTGGAGGATCAAAGCAAGCCCAAACAGAGAACCAAATGTAAAGCATACAAATCAAACAATGAAAGCAATTAGATATGATCTAACCCTAAGGTAACCCTACTTTTAGCTAATGTCCCCAGCAGAGTCGCCAGTTCTGTGATACGGTGGGAGAACTGACTTGAGGCTTTGCGTTTGTGTTTACAAATGTTGTGGTTTTAGCAAGAGTCGCCACCGACTTTTCTTTTATCCAAAAAGGAAAGGTGAAAAAGCACAGGAAATACCTTTAGAGATGTTGTCTTGAGTTCGGGGGGTATATTATGAAAAAGGAAGGTATTAGCACCCTTTCCATCCATGGTTTTCCATGGGTTCTTAGTTACTCGCTAGATCACTTGCTTTTGAATGGGCTTGTGGTGTGTGTTTTTGAAAGTATTTTGAAAACGCCTTTGTAACGGTTCTCGTCTCTATAAGAACGCGTACAAAGTGTTTGTTTGGAAAATAGTTCAAAGATAAAAGTGTAAGTGTAAAAAATGTTTTGTTGTGAGCAAACGAGTAAATGAGAGCGAACCTACCTACTCGAAAGGTCTTAGATATGTTTTTCCTCTTCCTTTAGATGTTGCTACCTTACCATTGATTTGGTAGGAAGCCCCATCGTTGGATGTAAAGGGACGGGCGTTTGGGTTATCGTGTGACCATGATAGCAATATTGTGAGATGGCTTAGCATTTTTCTTTAGGGACTAAGATCATTTCGAAAGGCAACTTTGATAGCGTCATCGAGGGACTATGATCTTACATTTCGATTGTTTTTGCTAAGACACCCCACATGCATAACATGACCATTTTTTAGGCAACAAGTGGAGTTAACCTTAAGGGTGCATGTGTGAATATTGTGTTTGATTGCATGCATTTTAGTCTTGATTAGGGTTGTCTATTTTGTTGTTTTCATGTCTTGCCATACATCCTATTTACTAGCAATATATGAAAAGCAAGTAAAACGCGAAAAATAGAATCTAAGCTATTACATCGCTTTAGGGGGATGGGAATACATATTTATGAATGGGGTTGCAAGTAAAATTAAAGCCTAAGTTATTATTACAACCATATCGAAATGGATCAGAATGTGCAAGAAATGTGAATTGCTTATTTATTTAAGAAAAGAAATAAGTTTTTGTCTAAGGAAATATTTTTTTGGTCTTTTGTTTTAAGAAATAAAGTAAAGCATGGGAAAAATGTTTTTGGTGTTTGTTGATTAATGAAATAGAAAGTGATTGAAAAAATAATGAGAAAAAGTAAAAATAGAATCAGCGTGTTGCTGATTAAGGGAGGTCAGAAGTTCTGACCCTGGCACACTGCAAAACAGAATTCCTGTTAGTAAAAAAAACATAAGTAAAGTCAGAAGTTCTGAGTCCACTGGGAGCACATCAGCCTTCAGAAGTTCTGATACCACCGGCAATAGAGGAGGTTTCAGAAGTTCTGATACCACCAGCAACAAAGTGGATTTCAGAGGTTCTGATACCACCGACAGAACTTGGTCTCTCTTTCCATGCTAGTCAGAACATCTGCAACTTAGTCATTTCTTCATAAAACAGAAGATGTGCATATGAAAGTTATGGCAGGTGTCATAGTGTTTCAGAAATAAGAAATACCATAACTATAAATCAGAGGCAAGTATGAATACTAATCCTAATTCTGAGTTCTAATTTCTTCCAGAAGTTCTGAACTGTTTTATTCCATACTTAGGCAGGCAAATACGTGAAGCCTCAAAATATGTATAACGTCAGAAACATGATATCTACATTGTGTTTTTTGAACATGCAAATCTGATAATGCTTAAGCAACGTGATAAGAGTCAGCAAAATCTTACCTTACAGCTGAAAAAGATTCTGTAAACTGGAGGTTGGTCCTGGACCCTGGTGACGTTCTGAGCAACTTCTTCACATACTCAACAGGATGGAGGTTTTCAACTTCTGGAACAGCCAAGGAGTGATACTCTGACCTCTTTGAGGTGGAGGTGAATGGAGAGTGTATGGCAGTACTAATCCAGAAGTTAGAATAGCTTCTAATATATGAATCAACAACTGTGGGGATGGTTTTAGTCAAGGAACAATGGAGTTTTGATGCTAGAATCAAATGCTAAGGTTTGATATTTTGGTGTTTTTTAGCTTTTCGGATTCTTGGAATTTTGCAAAGATTCAAGGCTTTTTTCTTTCTTTTGGTGATTCTCTCTCTCCAAAAACTAACTACTTGAACGTGTGATGGAACTAATTATTTATAGATAGATTTGCTGTGATTTTTTTTGGGGGGGGGGGGGGGGGGGGGGAAACAAATGAGTTTTAAACATTTTTGGCATACTGTCCCTTTATTTTTTAATCACAATTTTCATAGGCCAAATTGGTGCAAGAAAAGCGCAGGCGTGGACTGAATCAGCAACACCTTAGAGTGTTGTGGCATTTGGTTGCAAGACTGTGCCATAGCAGGGCAGCAGGTTAAAGTTTGGGATTTGGTGATATTCTGATTGCAGAAGACCAGAAACGTAACCTCCAAACGCTTAAGGGGCATCTTCTGACCAGAGCGTTGAACATAGCCTCAAAATGCTGAAGAATCATGTTCTGACATGAAGCATTATGTTCTGACCAAAGAGCAACGCTTCTGCATGTTCTTATTGAAACATTATGTTCTGATCAAAGAGCAATGCTTCTGCATGTTCTGATTAAAGCGTCATATTCTGGATCGTGTTTGCAACTTCTGACGGCATTTACATAGAGGATGACTCAGAAGTTCTGAAGTATCATATTCTCTAGACACTTAGAAAATTTTCTAAATGTTTAGAAAATTTGATTTTTTCAAAGTAACTTCTAACTTCTGATTTTTGACGAACCAATTTCATGCCTTAATGGAATATGATTCTTGGAACTTGATTTTGATTTAAAAGTCAAATTTTGACTTTTTCAATGTACTTTTGACCATTTTGCCCTTATGGATGATTTCCTTGAACAATGATGATTCAAGACTTGGAACTTGATAGAGGCAAAACTGAAAGTCCAGGATGAATCCCTTGAGAAATGGGAGGGCAAATTTTGGGGTACAACAAATGAGTACTAATTTTTTTTTTACAGGGAATCATCCAGAAAATAAATAATTTATTCAAAAAAAATTGCTTACATTTTACATCGGTCATTACTTCCAACCGATGTAAAAACTGTCAAAACTATATCTATTATATCGGGTATAAAGCACAACCGATGTAAAAATGGTATATTTTACATCGGTCCACACGGTCCACCGATGTAAAATGTTGCGTCAATTTTTAAAAAAATAATGTTATAATTGTTTTTTTAAATCAGGCTTAGCTTATAACCGATGTGTTAACTGTCTTTTTTAAATAGGACCCATAACCGATGTAAAAAATTCCTGATTTACTATATCGTCTGACTTTACATCGGACCTAGAATCGATGTAAAAAATCAATTTCGCCCAATATAAAAAGTCATTTCTGTACTAATGAATATTAAGATTTTATATACCCTCTAAATCAAAGTATTATATAACGCATAAAAAAACTACACATAAAAGAAAAAAAGGAAAAATACTCGTTAGCCTTATAAAAAATATAAATATATGAACAATGCCTTGACTATCGAATTCTTATTAATTAGACAACAATCTCCTTTAAAATTAAAACTGACTTTTATCTATTTTAAGAGAGTTTGAACCACTTCTTAATCTCTTTACAAGAGATCTTACATCTATGAACGAACGTAGTATTTAATTAGGAATGAGGATAGTATTAATGTTAAATGTGAAATAACAGATAATAAATAACAATACTCGAGATGTTTTTTTTAATGATTTTGATTTCTAATAAACATTCTCACAATGAATTAAAGTTCAATCAAAACATTATTATTGTTACATATTAATGTTTGTTAATCAATCCCTTACTAGCGATAAGATAATTGACTTAATCTTTTATTATGGATAGATTTCAATAACAGACCTTAAACCTAAAATTGGAGTTATCTTAAAGTCACTAAAACCAGCAGAAGTAATCAACTTAATCCATTCTCTCTTGTTTCGCTCTTTTCCAGTGAGTAATACCATCATAAACATATCAAACAGGAGTTGAGTTTCAACTGATTCATTAATATTTTTCTTCTCATTGTCTAACACCATCTCTATGATAATCACTTTTCCTTCTTTACCTTTCTTCTTCAATGATTCCTTGCACTTTTTCAATATCTTCACACATTCTTCATCATTCCAATCATGCAATATCCACTGTGGTTTCATTCAAAATATGGATAAATGAATACAACTTTTTTATTTATTTATTAATTAACTAAAATTAACTTTTTTATCAATAATTAATAAAAACGGTATATTACCTTCAATAAAATAGCGTCTGCCGGAGGAATTTCTTGAAACATGTTTCCACCAACATAGTTTAGGTTATCACTTCCTTGCAAACCATCAACAACATGTGGGAGATCAAATACAATGCACTCTAATTCTGGAAAAGAATTGGCAAGAGCCTTTGCCATGGTCCCTGTGCCTCCTCCAACATCAACCAATGACTCCAATTTATCGAACACTTCCCTACCCTTCTCAAGCAACAAATTAGTTACAAATCGAGCATCACTTGCCATGGACTCATTAAACAAGTTGTTAAACTTGGGATCACGTGCAGTATAATCCCACAAAACCCTCCCATGTGTTGTTTCAAATGTTGTAGGATCTTCGTTTTTAAACCAAGTGGACAATTGATGAAACGGATTTGTCAAAACTGGATCAAGCATCGCCTGCACAAACGGTGTCACACTCATCGGATTACCCTTAAGTAATAATCAAGATACATCCGTTAGCATATACTCTATTTCTAACTCATTATCGGTAACATTTTGTTGAGAGAAAAAGCCAGAATGAGTCATGATTCGCATCAAGCGATAGATATAAGGTTGTTTTGAAGGATCAATTGGTAGTGAAGAAATGAGTTTTGAAAGTGACATGGGTTGACCATAGTTGTGTATGATATCTGGTATACCTAAATCAACAACACATTTAAGTGACATGGAATTGATGAAGTTGAAAATATGATTCCATATGTGACTTTGTGCTTTGAGCAAATCGGAATCAATGTTCTCTTTGTTTTGGAATTCCATAGCTAGCGACTTAAAGTTGATTAGATTGGAACTTCACATTATTTTGGGTCTGTTAGTAGGAGTAATATTTAAAGTCCAATAATGTGTTATTATTGGATTACAGATAAGCATCCATGTGCAATGGTGTGTTTAATTGAACTCAACATGGCAAAATAATGTGCAATGGTGTGTTTAGAGTAGTGTTGAGTGTGTGTTGGAGGAGAGAGATGTTGAGAAAACTCAACACCATGTACACTGACGCATGGGCTGACGTGGCAGCGGCTGGTTGGCTGACCAGATTTTTATCCATTTAATACTTTGAACTCAATTATTTCGTTGCAAATTAATTTTTTTTTTTTTTACCAAAATTCATGATTTTTTTTTCTCTATAAATAGAGACTTGGTTCATTTGATTTGGACACAGAAAAAAAAAACTAAGTTTTTCACTATCTTAATTTTATTATTAGTGTTTATTTTGAAGTTATGTGTCTTTTTTTAGTGAAATGGATCCCAATAATCATTTTAACACTCAAAATTCTGCTAATTTTCCATTTAACCAAAATCCCAACAATTTTCCAAATCCCAACAATTATCAAAATCCCAACTATTATCAAAATCCAAATCAATTTTCCAACCAACATCCTCAAAACATACCTAATTTTGGTTTTCCACCAAATTTCAACCAGACATCCTCTGTTCCAAACTTTCAAACATATTTTGGATCTATGCCGAGAAATCCATCTCAAACACCCCCGTTTAATGGTTATGTGACAATGGCGAATGCAAATTTTCCAAGTGGTGGTGTACCTGAATTTCCCGAGTTTTCAACACAACTAACTATTGGTGGCATGATAGTTTCTAATGAAGTCGGTCCGAATTCAGAGGATTCAACTCCTAAGAGCAGGAAAACTCAGCAACCAGCATGGAACACTGAACAAAATTTGGTGCTAATTAGTGGGTGGATTAAATTTGGAACAAGCAGTGTTGTCGGGAGAAACCAGAAAGGTGAAACATATTGGGGTAAAATTGCTGAGTATTGTAATGAGCATTGCTCATTCGATCCTCCGCGTGATGGACCTGCATGCCAAAACCGTTTTAATTATATGAACAAAGTGTTGGGTAAATGGATTGGCGCTTATGATGGCGCTAAGCGTATGCAAGGAAGTGGTTGGTCGGAGAATGATGTTTTGGCAAAAGCGCAGGAATTATATGCATGTGGGAAGAATGTTAGATTCACTTTAATGGAAGAATGGCACGCTCTCCGTGATCAACCACGTTATGGTAGTCAAGTAGGAGGAAATATTGGCTCAGGAAGTAGTGGATCTAAGAGATCTCGCGAGAGTGATGCATGTGGCTCAAACACTATAGAATCCAGTGCTCGTCCTATAGGAAGGGAGGCAGCTAAAAAAAAGGGTAAAAAGAAAAGCAAGGAATATGCCTCGGAGGTGATGGACAAAGAATGGGCTGAATACAAAGAATTCAAGACGAAAGAGCTTGAACGATTGGACAACATAGCCTTGATACAACAGCAGGCTAACAATATAGCCTTGGAAAAGACTAAAACCAAGAAAATGAAGATGTATCTAAAGCTAACTTCCGAAGAGCATCTAGATGACCGGAAGAACCAGCTGTTGAAAAAGTTGGAGGCAGAACTGTTTGATAATTAATTTCAATGAAGTATTTGTCAGTGTTGTGTTTGCTTTAATTATTGTTGTTTCAATATGCCAGTGTTGTGTTTGCTTTAATTATTGTTGTTTCAATATGCCAGTGTAGTGTTTGCTTTAATTATTCCTTATCTGATAATTAACTTTATACAATAAATTATTTCGAATCCGTCAGTGGTCCACCACCCAATTCGAATCTATTCCTTATCTGATAATTAACTCTATACAATAAATTATTTCGAATCCGTCAGTGGTCCACCACCCAATTCGAATCTATTCCTTATCTGATAATTAACTATATACAATAAATTATTTTGAATCCGTCAGTGGTCCACCACCCACATCCATTTATATATAGGGACTCATACATCCATTTATGTACCAATATCCCAAATCCCATCCAATCTACCTCCAATATCACAAAAAAATGGATCCATCACAATATCATTTTGATATCGCAGCCTACAATCAAAATCGTGAAATTGAAGAAAATTATATAGTCAATCGATTTAGAGAGCGTAGAAACAAAATATCGGAAGATAATGCACCTCGTAGTAGAAAATATCTCAATAGAGATCATGCAGCGGCAAACCAAAGACTAATTGACGACTACTTTGCCAATGAGCCTACATATGACGATGCAATGTTTCGTCGTCGGTACCGGATGAAAAAAAATGTTTTCCTTCGAATCGTTGGGGACCTTTCAAGTAGTGATAACTACTTCACCCAGCGAATTGATGCAGCCAATAAAGAAGGTATATCACCCTTAGCAAAATGTACCACAACAATGCGAATGTTAGCATATGGTGTGGCAGCAGATACGGTCGATGAGTACATCAAAATAGGAGGTACTACAGCATTGGAGTGCTTACGTAGATTCTGTAAAGGAATCATACGCTTGTACGAGCAAGTGTATCTGAGAGCACCAACCCAAGATGACCTGCAAAGAATACTGCATGTTAGTGAAATGCGGGGGTTCCCAGGGATGATTGGGAGTATTGACTGCATGCACTGGGAGTGGAAAAATTGTCCTAAAGCATGGGAAGGACAATTTACTAGAGGGGATAAGGGAACCACCACAATTATTCTTGAAGCAGTTGCATCTCATGACCTATGGATCTGGCATGCCTTTTTTGGATGTCCGGGAACGTTGAACGATATAAACGTTCTAGACCGGTCACCAGTGTTTGATGACGTGGAACAGGGAAAGGCTCCAAGTGTGAATTTCTTTGTGAATCAACGTCCATATAATATGGCATACTATCTAGCTGATGGTATCTACCCTTCTTATCCAACTTTCATCAAATCGATTAGACTTCCTCAAAGTGAACCCGATAAATTATTTGCAAAATTTCAGGAGGGATGTCGGAAGGACATCGAACATGCATTTGGAGTGCTCCAAGCTCGATTTAAAATCATCTGTGAACCAGCTCGCTTGTGGGACATAGCTGATTTGGGTATCATCATGAGGTCATGCATCATATTACATAATATGATTGTTGAGGATGAACGAGATTCATATTCTCAACGTTGGACTGATTTTGAGCAATCTGGGGAAAGTGGATCTAGTGCACCACAACCATACTCGACCGAGGTGTTACCCGCTTTTGCAAATCATGTGCGTGCTAGATCAGAGTTCCGTGATCCAAATGTTCATCAAGAATTGCAAGCCGATCTAGTGAAGCACATATGGACAAAGTTTGGAATGTTCCGTGATTGAATTATTTGTGTGTTGTATTGCATTTTAAATTATTTGTATCGTACTAATTACGTTACTTGTGTGTTGTATTGCATTTTAAATTATTTGTAACGTACTAATTACGTTAATTGTGTGTTGTATTTTAAATTAATTTAAGATGATTTGTATCGTATCCAATTATTTAAATAAATTTTGTTTTTATTACAAAAAATTAAAAAATAAATTATTAAGTATTTATTATTTTAATTTAATTTTAATCGATAATTGTAATTTTATGTAATCATAAAAATAAAAATAAAATTTAAATAAGAATATGAAAATAAAAAGTGATGGGGTAGGGTGTTGAGTGAAAAACCATTGGAGAGGGTAAAAGTTGAATGGGTGTTGAGTTATTAGGTGGAAGAAAGAGAAAATGATGTGGAGTGTTGGGAGTTGAAAAAGTGGGTGTTGAGTTTTTCAACCATTGTAAATGGTCTTATCGGAAGATCTGTCACGCATTAATTATTTTTGGCTTTTCGTCAATTATTTTGATGCTTTTATAATCGGAAAGGTTGTTGTCGGAAGATCTTTCCCATGTAAGGTCACATGCTATCTGACATGCTTTTATTATGTTTGGTCTTTTTATCAATTATTTTGATGCTTGAAATATTTCAGGTTTTTAGTGTAATTCAAACGTGCACTATAGTAGTACGTTGGATATATATGAAATGATATTGGGATATATATTAAACAACAATATCTGTGTGTTATGAATGACATCTCGATATATATTAAACAACAATATCGGTATATTATGAATGATGTAAAAACCCTTTTGAATGTATATTAAACAACAATATCGATGTATTATAAATGATGTAAAAACTCTTTTGGATGTATATTAAACAATAATATCGGTGTGATATGAATGGTGTAAAAACCCTTTAGATTATCTTAAGCAGCTATAAATCTATTTGTTTTTGTTGGTTTTTCTTTTGTAATTGGGATGGAGTATCCACAGTACTCCTATTTAAATACAAAATTACTGATTTAAAAAAAAACAATAAAATATTGAAGTTAGTACATAAAGTACTTTTCAAAAGATATATTAAACAATAATATTGAAATTAGATTTGTTAAGAGAATTTAATTTACCACCCTTTAAATTTGATGGATGGACAAGAACCAAATTTCCAGTAATTCATTTTTAAATTTTTGATATAATTTTTTAAAAAATAAATAAATGTTTTTTTATAATATTGAAAATTTCCGATATCATATTAGAAATTTTAAAATTTTTGATAGTGTAAATTTTTTTTTGAAAACGAATTACTGGGTTATTTGAACAACTAGTATATTTTTTCGAAAATTTCGATAATTTTTTCTATAAATTTCAGAAAAAATCCGATATTTTCTTTAAATTTTTGACAGTGTAAATTTTTTTATATGACCATAAGAGTAATAACATCATTATTGAGGAGTATCATATATAAATCTGACAGTGTCAAGTTAAATGTTCGAATGTTATTAGCATGTTGCACGAACCATGTTTATTTATTGTTATTTAATAATATAGATATAATATATTGAATTTCAAATTTATTAAACAAAAAGAAGATATTACACAAAAATGTGTTTGATTAAATAGTTAAATTAAAATTTAAAGAGTTAATAGCCAT